AATTGTGCAATTAACATCAGGGCAGTTCTGGAGCTTTGCTGCAGCTCAAGGTGATTTTTTTTTGGTGGTAAATAAAGGTGAATTATATTTTTCTTGACATAAAAGCGGCAGCTAAACAGCAACATGTAGCTTAGTAAGAATTTTGAGAATTTTATTTTATTTTATTCCAGAAAATGGATTTCTACTAAATCAATAAAAATAAAAAATGATACTTTTAATATTTGCATGCATCACTTTGGAACCATGACAGGTTACTAAGCAATTGGCATGGTTACGCTCAGTTGGTAGAGTTGTTGCCTCCTAGGTTGCTTGATCGAATCCAGACCGGGGCCCTTTCTGGGTAGAGTTTGCATGTTCTCTCTGCGCATCTGTGGGTTTTCTTCAGATACTTAGTTTTTTTTCCCCACAGACCAAAAACATGCATGTTAGGCTAATTAGTAACTGTAACATGACCTCAGGTGTGAGTGAGAGAGAGTGAATAATTGTTTGTCACGTCTGTCTCTATGTGTCCCTGTGACGGACATGCAACCTGTCCAGGGCGTACCCTGCCCCTCACACTGTGACTGATGGACATGGTAACTAGTGACCCTGAAAGGAAGAAATAAGATGGATGGATGGATGGATGGATGGATGGATGGATGGATGGATGGATGGAAACCTCCAATGAAGACTCTAAAATCTGAATTGTGGCAGCTGCTTAAAAAGCAAAATAGAAAAATTGATTCTCTACTTATTTTAGTTTTCTCAAATAAAAAAAAATGAGACAAGTGGATGTGTATAAACCTCTGCAAAACGTTTCACTTCTGTAACATTCAAATCCCTCCGATCTCAATTTTCCTTGACATGTGTCAGAGAAAAATATTTCTCGAGGATGGCTAAAAAGTGGTTCATAATAACATCTGGAATCTTAAGAATGAGATCTCACACCAACATGCATAAAAGCTTATACTACCACACTCATATTATTCAGCGCTAACAGAGTCAGGTTTAGGTTAGCTTATAATTTCATTTTGAACTGTAACATTCAATCTGCAAGGCAGGGAACTGAACTCTGTGTTTTCTTGTGATATAAGTGATATTAGAGACAAAAAAAGGCTATGTGCTTYATCCACAAATGTTCAAAGGCATGCATATTGCCATGTGTCCCAAAGAAGCTCATTCCCTTGAACTTTACTAAAGACATCTTTTTACACTTTACAACTCCACATTTGCGAATATTAAAACTGACATGAAGTCTGATTAAGCTTATCCACTATAAAATGAATACAGAGGATCAGTCATGGATGATTCACTTTGATATACTAACATCAAAAATGACAGACTTTAAACAGTACCGTTCATCGCCAGCATGTCAACTCACTAAAGATTCATTGAGAGGCTCTAATCACACTTTATTTCTGTGCCAGACAAGATTTCAGACCTAAGCTGTCGAGAGAGTAGACCAGTGAGACGTTTAGGAACTCCTACTGATTTCAACAGTCACAACAGGAGAAGGGCAGATGGATATGCTCCTTTGTGGTGGTGTTAATTGACTATTGTACACACAACAGAGAGAAAATGGCCAAAGGAGGAGAAGTGAAAGACATAAGATCCCCGGTTAGTCATACAACTTTTAAAAAATTTATGTCAAGGGAAATACTTTTTGGCACCTTATAATTATCTGGGCTTTCACTGCCTGAACTTTGACTAAACAAATGGAAAATAACAATTGCAGCAAAGTTTGTACACAAGTCTTCACATAGAAATTGCTTAAAACTCTCATATTTGAAAAGTACTCTGCTGACCATATATCATTTGGGGGATAACATTTTCAAACAATTATCCTTTTTTATTATAACACTAGCAATAAGCTTAAATTCACTTGCCAACTTAATTGTCTTGTTACATTTTGTATTTTTTTAAGTTCACATAACTGAGTTGTGTTTAACAACTGAATTGTTTGGAAAATACACATTAGTGCCACTGTGTGTTAAATTATTACCCCAATGGTTGCAATAAATGTGTCACTTCATGTAAAATTATGATAGATATGAAATATGCTGCACAAATAAGTGACAAGTTGGAATTTGGATGTAATTATGTGAAGAACTTTGCTCTTGCTCTTTTCACCTAATTTCCCTCTGGGCTCAGTAAAGTATTTTTGAATTGAATTGAATTGAATTGAATTGWATTAAGTGAGTGCAACAGGGCATAAAGGCGAAACGTCAACAGGATGCACAAATTTATGTTAGCAGGTGCAGAAAGTTCTGAGATAATAAAAAAAAACATTAATATTGGTCAGTAAAACCCTCAGTGCTAAATGCAAAAGGCTCAGCTGCAAAAAGCTGATTAAACTGATTCAAACATTAAACAATAAATAAAAAACCAGCCAAATCATCACAATAACTCACATTAGCAAGGTCAATAAAAAAAGAAAAAGTGGTCTAACTGCGTGTCTTGTGCCTATAAAAAATACCACACAAAATAATGCTCCAAAAAATGTTTGACTTGTACTAGATTGGTTTCATTTGATGAAAAGCTAGAAGAACTTTAATTATCTAACCCAAATCACGTTTCAGAATGCTACCAGACCAAATACACCAATTACTGTTGGGGTTTGACAGCATCTGGATTTTGTCGTATCATACTGTATCTAGTACAACAGCGGCTAAAATTACCAACTAGTCTACTATTTTAAAAAGTCTAACAGTGAAGTGTCAGTAGAGTAATATGTGAAGTGTATTAATTCTAAAATGTATTATTAAAACAATCAAATAGTCATATGTTCAGTTAAACTAAAGAAAACTGTAAAACAACTTCTGCAGTAGAAAGAAATGTATGGACAAAAACAAAAACCCTTTTTCTTTTTACAGACTGATATGATAGCACTTTCAAATTATGCAAAACAGACAGCATAATAAGTCTGACAAAGGCGTTGGGCTGAAACAGCGCAGGGTTTCTTACCCTGTAAATTAGAAAATAAGATGACTTGTAATTTTCTCTAAGTTGGCATCTCACTTCATTTGAACSGATTAAGAAATTAATGAAAAGCAGTGAGTAAATGTGACACTTTTAAATTAAGTATCAAGTATCCAAATGACAAAATTAAAAGAAGAAGAATGAAGTTGAGAGAGAGAAAAAATACATTATTGGCTGGGGAAATTTTGACAGAAAAAGAAGTTGAAAAGACGTCAGTGTCGGAGAGAAGAGTAGAAAGTGAGAAGGTAGTGGATGCTCAAGGCAATGCCATCTGTGGGTGGATCTGCAAAGGCTGCATGCCACACACCTGTGTGGGACTGCCTGGGAGATAAGGCCCACAGCAGAATGGCCCCACGGCCACCTGTGCTGCCAAACAGGTGCACAGCCCAGCCAATTAAACTATTAGACAAACACAGGCCTCTGGGAGCAAATTAGCAAGCCGTCCAAACATCAGAGGAAAAACAAAAAGCAGTGGTAAGCACTCACAGTGAAAAACACAACACTTTTGTTAGCAAGACTTTGAGCATGCAGCATTAAAATGAAACAAAGAATAGATTTTTAGAACAAAATCATCACTAGTCCAGAATAAGTTCTAGAAACTTGCCAAGTAAGTATATGAGCAGCTTTAACACTGCCAACAATGTAATGWAAAACTAAATTTCACTTTTATATATTTATTATATAAAGATGAGTCAACATGGAATTTTATTATTAGCTATTATGTTTAAGTTTTATGGGTTGTTATGTGAATTTGCTATGGGGATTTGTTATGTTAAGGTAAAAAGATCAGATAACAGGGTGACACTTAGGTGTGAGCAGGTGAGATGAGATGTGTACTCGAACTGGAACAGGAAGTATAGATGGACATTGTGACAAAAATAACAGTGACTGATCAACTATTGACGAATGAGAGATTAGTCAACTATCAAAATAACTGTTAGGTGCAGCCCTACACATATCCAAATGGTAATAATACTTTGAGTTGTCAGGACATAATTCATACAAAAATAGAAAGCAGACAGAAAGCCTTKATAGTATGTAAGAGGACACACTGCATTCTACTGTAAAATAGGTCAACAACATCATTCATGTAAGCTTTTACTTCAGAATCGACAGGCTGATATCATTAGGTCAGTGTGGGATTACATGATAGGCCTGAAGTAACTGAGACAGCCTAAAAAAAAGAAGAAGAAGGTCCAAAAGCCATTTGTCCAACACACTCTCAGCAACAYAGATGCCAAGTACAGTGAGAATTTTAGACCTATACCTACAAAAACAGTTTAAAAGACAAACTGGGGTCTCAAATTCAATTTGGAGTCAATTTACTTCAATTCATTTGAAATTATTTTTTTAATGTTTTCTTTTAATATTTGTACATCCATCCATCCATCCATCCATC